ACAATATGATTTCAACTAACCATTCGATTGGAGTGTAATTTTAAATCGAATCTTTAAACAAATAATAATAAAACACAGCTTAGAATATGTTTCCACATCTACATATCATAAACCTCCAATCTGAACTGATTTTGTTAGTGTATTATAAAGTAAACAAGCTGAATAAATCGTGATAACATCTCAATTCGGTGTTAGATTCACTGATTAGAGCTTCTTCATCTTTTTTCATTTCTTTTACTTTTTGCCATGAAGCACATATCAAATCTTCGTTGTGTTAATTAACCAAAGGCGCAATCGAAAGAAATCTATAAAGGCAATAACAAAAATCAAATAACTAGAAAGAATATCGTATATTGTATTTTATTTGGAGTAGTTGAATTTCACAATATTTGCCGAGAGCTAATCATCTGGAGGAGGTCTCAATTAGATCGAATTTTGAATGCTCGGCATGAGCGGGTCGTAAATCACTTTGGCCAAAGCTTAGTAGAGGATAGTGACTGTGACTAGGACAGCTCCGAGATCCTTGAGATGCCTGGCCCGGCATACCAAGAGCCTGGGCACAAAAAACGCAGCTCAAATGAAAAGGATACGCTCAACATGCACGACGCCTTTTCGACTTTGTTTGGCAATCGTTTAAGCCTGGCCAGGACATCGCAGGGGAAGGCAGGAGAATGGGGATGAAGACGGGGATGTATGTGGAGGACCAACAAGTACGTGCAGTCAAACAGATTTCCAGTTAGCAGCTCACAACAATTCGCTTTTAAGCCAGAGCATAAATCAACCTCAAAAGATATCCCCGAAAATGCGGGGGAAAAGTTTGCGTGTTTTATTTTTTTCTGTTTTCTTTCGGGCCGCGGTATTTTATTGAAAGGATAATCGATTGCAGCGACTGCTGGCAGCGCATTAAAGGATTTGACTTGGGGCAACTTTAAAACTTAACCCAAGGCGATGTCGACGAACTGAGCGATGTGAAATGCGGCTCTTTGCGGTCAATTTAATTGAATGATGAATTGCGTCGGACACTTGGGAGGTGGAGGTTTGCATGCCGCAGAAATTTCTTCAGTTGTCACGAGTACTTGTCTCGAAGGATCCTGACGAGGGGCATGAGCATCCTTGCAACGGGAGCAGGAGAAGGAGGAGCACGACGACAAAGACGAATACGCATAATCAGTCAAAATTTATGACAAGCTCGAACCGAAAAGTCAGCTTAAGCATTTAATTGGCCCAGGTCCAGTTGGATGTCCCCCAGGACAGGCCTAATTAGCACGGAGGCATATGCGGGTTGGAGTCCATTTTTTGTCGTAGCCTTTCATAGCCACGGAGCTGTGGAGCTACGAGGACCCAAAACGATTTTTACTGTTCTCCGGCTCTGAGTGATGACTCTCCGCTGGAGAGAACTGGCGAGCTCGGTGGTAATTTGTCTAGGCCAGAAAAGGCTTTTGGCCTTCTTGACAGACAACCAGTACGGGGTGGTGAGGGGGAGGGTAGTTTAAAGGCTGCTCCTCCATCTCATCGGTCCTAGAAGTGTCCTTTCACTCGATTTGCGCTGCAAGGAGGCGCATAAAAGATGGATAAATACGGGAAAAAGCTGAGCAGCGTAAAACCGAAAATGTTGTGCTTAGTGCAGTTCCGTGTAACGCATTATTCTTGCTTAACATTTGTCGGCTCTTTCCATTTTCTTTGTTTATTTTGGCTTTTGTTTGAAGCCATTTCAAGCTCCTTTACGGCTAATGCTGCTAGTTTTAAGTTAAGTGTCGAAAAATTGATACAGAAAATTGAAACAGAAAATTACAAAAAAAAATAATTGACTTTAGGCAAACACAAAATTAAATTTACTTTTTAAAATTTTTTTCTGTTATTTTATTTTACTTTTTAGGGGGGCGAGCTTTTGGTTCGTGGACCAGATATGTACATGTCCCTTCTTTTAGTACCTAGGCTAGCGTGTTTCCGAACCCGTAACAAAAGTAAAATGTACCTAGAATTAGAGGTTGACTGTTATTCTTGCTGGCGCCACCTTGTTTACAATTTTGAAACATTGGAACATAAATCCACCAAGCCCAAGTGGTGGATTTGGATTTTAAAATTTGAAGTTTCCACTTTTTCCACATTCAATTTTAGAGAGTATTTTACTTCGATCAAGTTTGTTTAATGTTATATTGGCCGAGAAATTTCAAAAATTTATTTATTTCCATTGCAAGTATGGATCGAAAGACTACATCATATAACTGCCACAAACACTACTTGATAATTTTATAAAGAAAATTATAATACCATGTAGCTCATGATTCTACTTCTACTAAACTTTTAAACTACTGGAATAGATAGGTTTTATTTTTATTATTATTATTAAAAAACCAACGTAATGGACCTTTAATTATAGCTCCACAAGTGCTAATAAAATCCTTTAAAAGCATTGTCAATTGAAGCAGATCAATTAGATCGATTGATTGCGAACTAAATTAGCGAGCGATCGCAACGCTAGATTTGATTTGAACAATCATCCCCAAACCGCTTTCCACCACTGTTGAGGCACGGTTCCTGTAGGCGTTCTTCGGTTCTTGTGCACGGCAATGATACTATTATTTAATGGATCTGCTTCGCAGGAACCTCTTGTTCCCATTGAGGCGGAAGCGATCTGCACGCACCGAAAGAAGTGTCTTTCAGACGGAAACAAGGACATTATTGTGCCGGGCAAGTAGCAAACATTGTAAACAAGCAAGCAAAACACGGCAACGCCCCTAAGCTGCTAATGAGGGCAACTGTGGCTGGAGGCTGTGAAAACAACACAAAAGTAGTGAAAGGACGCATGCTGCGACAAGGATCAGGATCACATTCGCAGGCAGCTGAGGAGAGCAGCGAGAGAGAGAGAGAGACGTTTACAAAAGGCAACATGGCCGCAAAACGATCTTGAGGACGTTTTTTTGCGGTGAAGGAACTAAACACTCTCACACAACCCACCAACTCCTGCGGCAGGACCTACGTTGTTCACTTAAAAATCACACACAACTCATAATCCTGACCCTTGGAATGTATGCGAGAGACGAGTGAAAGGACATAAGCGGATTGGCCAAACAAAGTTGAGTGGCCTCAATACCTCGTCCTGATCCCTCGCCTGCGCCGTGTTTGATGTCCTGCGGCGCATATTAACATTATCAGCTGTGCGCAAAACAGAGACGGCTGCCTAGGTGGAGAAAATCCCACTAGACAATGTTATCGGAACCTAGTAATTGTCTCGTCCTTGTGTGCTGGCATCCTGGAATAATGTGTGAAAATTTACACCGCACCCAGGGCTCCCGCTGCGCCCGACTGCCAGGACATTCTTCTGTGCGCACAGTAATCGGCAAATGTGGTTAAGTGATTTAAGAGGATATTATCGAGCCTCACAGGCAGACAAATCAATCGAATTCAAAGTGAGACAAATTTCGTTTGCATTATCCTGCGCCAGCGATTTCTCTTTGGCTCCATTTTCGCGTCGCTTTAACAAAGTTTCCCCCCACAACGGAAACGGAAATTTCGTTCGCATGTTTGTGAGTGTCAGGATTGCAGTTGCAGTCCTTTTTTTTATTCGCTTTTATTCGCTCTTATTCCTGAGTTAAGTGAATTGTACGGACAAGAAGAGGTGATTGGTCAAGGGTATAGAAACTGGTAGTATTTTTATAGAACACTTAGAAATGCATATAATCATAGTTATTAATATTATCCTTTAGTAACAATCACTACATATCTAACTCTGATTTGTAAATGTCCCACTTAAATAGTCTATGTACACCGGATATTAAACCATGTAACCAAAACAAATATTATGTAACGAGCAACCCCCCGGGCTGCAGATACAGCCTCAATTAACCCTAAGCGACCATAAAAATCGAGTCATTCGGTCATAAATGAAAACAACTGCCGCGGGTCCTGTGCCTGCTTTCGCTCAAAAATGGTTATTTATGATTGTTATTTCGTTATTTGGGTATTTTGTTATTTCGCCACCCTCTGGCAGTACTCGCCTAACGATGTTAGTGTTTCCGTTTATGCCACATGCTTACCCCTCAATTTGCGTGCAACTCGCATGGCCCCGGGACTTATCCCAGGCCATGGCGAGGTCCAGATCCAGGTCCACTTTCACAGATTTGAGAGGCGGAGAAGTCAGACGCGGAGAATTTGTAACATTTGGCAAACGTCAACGCCCTGCACAAGTGCAGGAAAATGAAATCAAATCAAAGCCAAACGAATTGATCAGAAAAATGTCATAATTGAATCGCAGGGGCAACTCACCCCTGATCCCTGTCCTGTGGCTATGGGCGTGTCTGGATTTTGATAACTTTATGCTAATCAGAGATGGCCGAGAAGTCTCAAGTTACAAGCAGAGGAAACAATTCAAAACAATATTAAATGAAGCTGTAAACATGTCTTCATTAACGAGGTTCATTAACGAAGTTTAGACTAATATTATAATTATTAACAAAGCAAGGATATTCGGAAGCCAAACTCTCGACAAATTTGGGAATTCCCCTGATCTTGAAATAATATTGAGAAACCCTTAATTCATTTCTAATAAGTTTAGACCATCACTAGCAACTTAAAAAACCCCGAAAAACCCAAGTTAATGTTGAATATTTATTGGTAATTAATTTCGGTGTAGTTCCTGCCGGCCACTGCACAAAAGGTGTCGTCGGAGAGCTGAAAATAATTTCCGTTTGGCTCCTAGTGCTCATTTCGCCTATTTTGTACATACAAAACTAATTAATTTCCCAAAATGCAACAGAGAAGGGTTACGGGAGAGGAGAGCAACGCGCGGGAGCCTCACAGGATATTTGTGCAAGCAATTTCCGCCGCCGAAGAGAGTTTTGTGCGTAATTAATTTATGCAAAATACAAATGCAAACAAATTGCAAATGTTTTCGCACAAAATTGCTGTCCGCCCAATTTGTTTTCCAAAATAATTAACTTTTCAGCGGGTTTAATTAGAAATTTTCTGAGCCAGGAAGGCCAGTATTTTGCTATCACCCGCTTGGTAGCTAACATTTCCCCCCAAAAAAACTTTCCTTGCTTGGTTTATATTTTCCACGAGTGATGCTGAAGTAGTTCCAGTGCTGGATGGATGATTTACCTAGTTGGTTTGACAACAATCTCTTCCAGATTGTCGCCGCCATTGTGGCGGCCTTTCTGGTATTGGTGGTCATCCGCACGACCACCGAACTTTGCGATGCATGTGCGGATGAGGAATTGGGGGCACAGAATGAAAGAAGTGGTGGAAGAAATCCGGATTCTAGGAGAGATCATCTTGCAGAAGGCACTCACTATCAAGTGGCGGAATGCGGTCCTCGCGTCTCTCAGCAATCCTTTGACTACGACTGGGTTCGGGGACCACACACGTGGAATGCGCCAATGAACAACCAGAGCCCCATCAACATAGATGTGCGATGCTTGGAGACAAACTGCTTTGACACACCTCTGACTTGGTCCTTGTACGATGTCATGCCTCTGGGCATCCGCTTGGAGAATAATGGGCATACTCTCGTCCTGCGAGCTGCTTTCGAGGGACAAACGCCTTCCATCTATGGTGCAGACTTGCTAGGCCGCTTCCACCTTTGGGAGATCACCTTTCGCTGGAGCTGGTTTAGTTCGAACGGATCGGAGCACTCGATCGATAATCGCCACAGCGCCCTGGAGATGCAGTGCCTCCACACGGATGCCGACAGCCAGCACTGCGCTTCGTCACAGGGCATACTCGTGATATCCTACCTGTTCGATCTGTCCGAGGATAATCCGTTCCTGGACGTGCTCGTCCAGCATCTTGTGGCCGTGCAGCAAGCCGGTCAGACGGTGGAGATTCCTCCCTTTCCACTCACTTACCTGATGCCCGCCTTTCACAACGAGTTCTATAGCTACCATGGATCACTAACTGAGCCACCGTGCCACCGCGGGGCAGAGTGGTTCATCCAACCAGTGACCCTGGCCATTAGTGAACGCCAATTGAATGAGTTCCGCCAGCTGAGAGACAGACGCGGAGGACGTATTGGAAAAAATGCAAGACCCGTTCAGCCACTCGAAGATCGAACGGTTTACATGAATCAATATAGCTATTGATCGTTGGTTGTTCAATCCTAAAATTTATAGAAAAGTTTCATAAGTCCTTATGTACAAGTATTTGTGTAGTTTATCAAGAACATATCCATCCAGCATCTGCCAAATATTTATTTATTTATAAACATTTATTATTATTATAATTAGAAGATCTTCGACTGAGCACTGATTTAATGAACATAAGGAAATTTAAATAATGGTAAAACATAACTTTAGGTAATGAGAAGTAAATTATTCCCTCTATCGAGCTTCAACCCGGACTTCCCCCCCCCCCAAGCTTTGAGGCCTGGATAATTAGTCTTGTTTCGGTTCTGTCTATGGTTTTGGTCCTGGACAGTCTTCCGCACAATTTCCTGGAGGTTGCCGTTTGCATGGCAAATAGTGTGCTTATATAGTAATCCACTAATTAGTCGTTCAAAGAGCATTAGCATTAGCATTAGCTGTGGCAGGGTCCTGAGCCTGCTACGCTTCCTGTGCGCAAAATCGCCGCAGGACACGCAGGCTCTGTGTGTGTAAGCGTGTGCGAATGCGTGTGGGTCCTGCGTCTGTAATTTCGTTAGTGCAGCGGAAACTGTTGCGGACATGTTTGCCCTGGGATTGGGATTGAGATTGGCAACGGGGAATGGGACTGGAATGGTATGCGAATGCGAATGCGAATGCGAATTCGAATGGGATTGGGTTTTGGGCCTCCTGCGGCGAAGCACCCTCATCTCCTGCCCCCTCCCCTCTCCATCGATTACAGCTGCTGCTTGGCAATCAGAGTTCCAGTTTCCAGGCTTATAATTATCGGTTGGCGCCTAACCATAGATGGAACATTTTCGAGCAGCGACAACGGACTATTGCCCTGTAATTAGTTTTTATCCCGGAGTCGGAGTCGAAAGGGGGGTCTGGCTCGGATCGAATGCGATTTGGTGCCTCCACATGGGACAGGGTGGGATGCTCCATGCTCCATGGAGCAGAGGCCTCGATGTCGACGACTTGTTTAATCAATGGCAGGCCAAGTGAATTTCACTGCAATTGCATTTGCTGCAAATCAACGCTAATGAAATTATACAAACAAGTTTCGGTCCGATCCGCTCTGTGTCTGTGTCAATATTTGTGCTGTGCGCCCATTCGCAATTTGCATGTTTTGAAAACTTAATTGAATTGCAATTTCCACAAATAAAGCTTAATTTTTCGGTCGCGCTTTTCGTTTTCGGCTATACATATGTATGTGTGTGCGGTTTTCGACATTCACATGAACAAAACCATTTATTTTTTGGCCAAAACTAAAACTTTTGTCTGAGAAATGCAATTAAAAACGTATAATTCCATTTATTAATGCTTGATATGCAAATTGATTGCACACAAAATGTTCAATTAATATGAAAATGTTTTGTTAGAAAATTAATGCAATTTTTCCCAGAATGGCAATAATTACTCTCCATGCTTGTCTGGCGGAGTTTGTGTATAGATCGGAGGATTGTGATTATGTTGGTGTTGAATTAGATGAAAATGACACACTAAAATGCAAATAATATGCAAATAAATAGTTTGAAATTCTACGTTGACTAAGTAGGCGATTAAACTGTAGAATATGGGAAATAAAGAAAGGTATTTTAAGATTATATTCTATTTTAGTATTAAGGGAAACCTGTCCAAAAGTATTTCACATTGGTAATATAAATATATATGTATACTGTAACTAATAGCACAAGGCCCTAGATCCCATGGCTTTAATTTCTATATTTTAGACAACAATTTAAAAACAATAATAATAGTATGAATATTCTACAAAACTTAAATTTACAAGACATAGAATTCTGCAATTTTTGAAATTTTACTCATCTTACTCGTTTTATTTTCTTGTATTAATTACACAATTTTATATGTGTGTTTAGCAAAATACATACATCCTTTATGATTATTTAAGGAACTTATAAATAAATAGATTTCATTTCCTTAGATTAAATCTAGACTTCAATCTAGTTGTTTAGTATTACTTAATATTCCACTTGAATCTTGAATCTCTATCAATTAGGTTATCGAAATCTGAATTCATTTTCTTGATTTAATCCGTTGTAGATAAAACCAGAACACACTCAAATCAATAAACCAATTGCCTGCCGCACTTACCCGATGCCCGCCTCCAAGTCCCAAGTCTTTCAATCGCAGCAAAAACAAACATATCAATCAACATATTTAATTGATTGTAATTAGAATAAAGCAGGCCAGACTCCAACTCCTCCAGTAGCTGAATAAAACCAAGCCAGTTCAGAGCCAGTAAACCGAGTGAAGCTAACCGCCAGCCCATCTCTGCTCCCACAGCAATCCTCAAGCAGTTTGTGCTCCACTGAAAATGGCAAGAAAATGAAATTAGACGAATAGAATGACGATGTAAGTGCCATGAAAAGACGTTAAGACGCTCTGAGCCAAGACGCTAGCCGAGGTACAGGGAGAGAGAGAAGGGGAAGGGAAGTTGGCTGCTGCTAAAATTGAGGCAAATTGCATTTAAGTGTTGCCGTTTTCATTTAGCCGCATGAATATGTATGCGAAGGATGCGAAGGATGCCTCGTGGAGCGCAGTGTGGGTGCCAAGTGGGTGGTGGCAGCCTTGGCTCTTGCTTTTGTGGCATGCAAAATTGAATGAATAATTGAGAAAACGAGCGCATGATGGCATTAGTGTGTGATTGTGGGTTCTCTTACGTCGTTGTGTGTGTGTTTGCAGCTAATGAATTTTAATTGCTTTTATTAAGGCACAAAGAGGATGGATGGCCCCGGCAAGGCGGCAAATGGCCGCATCAAAAATCCCTGTTCAATGTTAATTGTTAATCATTAAATATTGTTGCTGGCAAAATCAATATGGCGGCTGACGATTAATCAACGCCATTTTGTAATTATCTCGCTGGAATATTTAATTCAATTAACTCTGCGGGCGACCCGGTTCGTTTTGTTTTTTTTTGTTCTTTCATTCTTTCTGGCAACGGGAATGAAAACAAATAAAATTAATTGAAAACTGTTATTGCAACAGTAACCGTTACTAAGAGCAGCAAAAAAGTGTTGAATTGCAAAAAGGACAATAACAAGATGAGAGCAGGCAGCACACATGAAAATTAATTTGAATTGAAAACTGAGTCCTTGCCGGGTCGAGTCCTTCCCTCTCTCTCTCTCTCTCCTCCTCGCGGCGCCTGTCTCTGTCGCTCAGCCCTTTGGCGCACTTCCTTTTCCAATTAAACGCCACCATTTTCCATTAACGAATTTGCATGTGTGTCTGTGTCTGTGTCTGCGACTCACTCTCACACGCACACACATACATGGGCGCCGCCGAAGAACGAGCTCTCTCCCTCGACTCATTCACACACACACACACGAGCACACACATGTCTGTATTTCTATAATAAAATTAAATTAGAAGACCAGAAAATTAAATCATCAAAGCTTGACGTCTGCCGGCAGCGTCGGCTGCTGTTGCCTCCTGTGTGAGTGTGTGTGTGTGTGTGTGTGTGTGTGTTAGAGTGTGTTTTGTGTCCCACCAAACACTCACACACTCGCACAGCCCAATTTGCAAAAGCGACAGTTACGAGTTCATTAATTTTTCTTCTTTTTTTCCCCTCACTCTCTCTCTCTCTCTCTATCACTCTCTCTCTCCCCCTGCCTTGTACTCTGCGGTTTTTCGGCCTCATCCCTCTCACTCGCACTATTTGCTGCCATCTCTTTCGGGGCTGCTCGCTTTGGCAATGGTGTGAGCAGCATCATAAATTAAATTCTTCATCAACTCAAACTCGTTAAGCGCCAATAAAGTGACAGAGAGTTATTTTCATCACTTTTTCAATGGTCTACCACAAGGCATGCTGGTGTGTGTGTGTGTGTGTGTGTGTGTACGAGTGTGTAAAAGTGTATGTGTTGGTTACTCAATGCGCCGAAGCGCTCTCGGTTGAGAGAGGCCACGCCCCCAATGGTGAAATGGGAAATCTGGATGGAGGAGGAAGTGGAAAAACTGGTTCTTCTCTTCAGCTCCAGGAGAATGCCCTCTTTATTTTTTGTTTTTTTTTTTTGCCCATAGCCACTTACGCATGCGCAGCCTCATTTAGATTTCAATCTTCTTCCAGAGATAAGAGGATTTCGCTAAGTGCAGCCAGGGACACAGCCAGCTGCCAAGAGCGAAAGATACAAAGATACAATTATCCGCATACAGCCCACTGGGCGTATACTTAATCTGGCTGAAATAAAACATTTCTCTGCCTGCTTTTCGTGGCGGAAAGTCGCCGTTAACTGTTTAACGATAAAAGCAAACTAATTAAAGCCAGCGAAAGGAGGAGAAATTGCCACATAATAAAGCAAATTAAAAGCAAATTAATTTAAAACAAAAAGTGGTGCGGGGGGAGAAGAGCAGACGAAGCAGCGAGTTAACGTTGCGGATGTGGCGCAAATGAATGCGGCGCACACAGGCACACAGACAGGATACACAAGGAAGCGCCAGGGATACAGCTCGTCCGCCTGTCGCTCCACTTCAATTAAGCATCGCGCCAACATGGCAGCCTCTCACAGATACACACGCACACGCCCACCCACCAGACAGAGCGAGCGCACAAGAGTCTCCACCAGCACACCCACACACACACACAGTTTCAGGACGTAATTACGTTTGGCAAGCTCGTTATGCGTAAGAATAAACGCGCATTAAGAGCTCATTAGTTGGCACAAATCGAATCCCCGGGCCAAAAGGAGGCGGCTCTTGGACTGCGTGTGTGAGCTGTGTGTTCTGGTTATCTGGCATTTCCATTTAACGTGTAATGGAAGTTAGCGTAAAAGGGCTAAGAGAAGAAGCTGAATGAACTGGCCCGAAACGAACCTTGAACGAAATGTGTAGCGATAGTGGAGTCCAGGGGAAAAACCACAACTCATGACAACAGGTAAGCTGCAAGTTGCCCGAGAAATGTTAATGGCAATGGTATTGGCCACGCTTAATGGCCTCCCCAAACTGGCTGACGGCGTCTATTACCCTGCTGACAATCAAGTGTCGGCCATGGAAGGAGACTTTCACGGAGCAGAGGGGGTTTCCGCTGCAAAGAACAGGGTCTGCACACAAACTGGTTTTGGGAGAAGGGGAAAAGAAATAACTTGAGTAAACATAAACTACACTTTAAGCGTGTTCGTTAAACACTGAAGAATATTTTCTTTATTTATTTGAAATTATTTTAATTTTAATAAGAGAAATCTCTGCAATTTGAGCTGTGAAATTATCAGAAATTGTGTGCAAAATTGTCAAACGTTGGTTAAATTAAACTTGTATTTTCTATGTACATCATATTTGATTGCTTTTAACAAGATAAAATTAAAATATAAACAAGATATAACTCTGGAAAGCCGAAATTTGTATACTTTTGCAGTCTGCTATCGGATCAGAGGCCAAATTGTTAATAGATATAAGGCATAGGACATAACACCTTCGAAAGCCTGAAAAAATAGCATTCTTTAAATACATATATTGTTGACAATTTTATTTTTTTTTTTTTTGACAAACCCATGGTAAAAAACCCATAACTCAGTAAAAAATGCATTAATTTCAATTAGGAAAGCTTTTCTGTGCTAGTTATTATATGGCTAACAAATCTGCGTTATGAGCTTTAAAATTTAAAAAATTTGATTTTTTATAAAATTTTGACAATTTTAATGATGTAACAACCCCTTATAAAATTTTGAAATTTTTGAAAATTTTCGAAAATGTATTTTTCAAGCGGACATTGCTAGATCGATTTAGCTGTAAATGCTGATCAAGAATATATACATATGGTTTATGGGGTCGGAAATGATTTCTGATTTAAATAAAAATTTATATATATTGTAAATCTAATATCTATGAAAGTTACCTTAAGATGCATAATGCCTTAAATTTATATATATAAAATAAATCATATGGCTCATCCTTTAAATTAATTAATATGATTAGCCAGTGTCCTGCTCCTGGTTAAGGTTTCAGACTCACAATATCCAGTATATAACTACCATAAGAAATACAATTCTGAGTTCAGCCGCTTCCTGAATGCTTTTAAGTTTATTTCCTTGACAAATGCCGCTTGTCGCAATCAGCTTGCAAATTTGTAACAATAGCAGGATATTAACAAAATCCACTTATGTATCCGTTTTAGGTTTCACGCTCCTTGGGAGAAGCGCCAGAGCAAGATGGAGACAGAGAGAGAGAGAGAGACAGAGAGAGAGAGAGAGCGAGAGCGATGCGGCACACACACTTTGTGGCCTGAGCCCAAAATGGTTTTCCGATGCAATTGTGGTCGAAAAATCTGTGGCAGCAAAGTCATAATTCCAGGGCGGAAAAGTGCAAGGACTTAGCTGCCTCCTGCCTCTTCCCGTTCCTGTGCCACAGTGGCAGGACAGCTGAGTTGAGGGCAGTAAGTGCAGTTAGTTTATTTTATTACGCAGCCGACAAACAATCCACTTGGCTTGGCCCATTGTTAAAGTCTCAGGACTACGGATCACAGGCGGGGTTGGGTTGTGCGCTCCTGGCGAGTCCTGCGCACTCTCTCTCGCTCTCCGAAGAGCTCTCTTTGCTGAGCAGACTCCGCCCCTCGAGGCACACACACACACACAGCGGCACTGTGCATATATATATATAGGTGTGGTGAGCTCGACCGGTTTCCAATTTGATTTGGAAACTTGAACCCAAGCCGTCGCTGTACTCGATTCCCGAGTTTATTGCCAACTCTGCCTTGGCACGGTGCGCAACGTTTCGGTTTCGGTAGCTGCTGGTTTCGGTGCTGAGACGTTATTCCCGCTTGTGACTTAAAATGCTTGACATTTAGCCAGAATTTTCATTAAAAGAGAAGAGTGCAAAGAATTAAATATAAACCGTGTCTCCCGGGTGTTTTAACTGTGATTAACCATATCGTTACGCTACGAAAGAACTACTGTCTCCCCTGAATTAAAAACCAAAATGGATATTAAAGCCTCGACGCCGCCAGTCCTTGAAGTGGCCGATACTCCGGCCGCCAAGTTAGGAACAAATGCTGCCGGACCAGGATCCGGGCCGGGATCGTTGGGATCGGCCAATGCCTCGCTGGCCAGCAACTCCAACACCGCCGCCACATTCCAGCACATCTTCGAGCAGCTGGTGCAGCAGAGCGGCGGCAACCACAAGCTCCCGCCCAAGCAGCTGGAGCACCTGCGCCACCTGCTCGGCAATGTCCGCGACGCCAAGAACCTCCAGCTGATTGTGGAGAAGTTCAAGAACCTGGAGCAGTTCCACGAGCACTATGCCGCCCATCTGGCCAACAACAACACTGTGATCTCGGCGGAAGGTGAGTGATGTTCCGACGGCAAAGGTTCCTGGTTTCCCTGGGGAGATTTCTTATCAAGATTATGGGGGATTAAGAAAGATTTTCATGCACAACATAAATAGTAATGAAGGATTTAAAAATAATAGTTTGCTTATTAAATTAAATTCAAGAAGTTCATAGATCTATAGATCTTCATATATCTTGTACTTTTGTTTAAGATTTTAGTTCCGATCAATTACATGTTAATTGTTAAACCCTTGAAGAATTTGCTTGAAAAGTTCTGAAATCTAGAATTAAATTAATGTAATATAAAGGCTAAATATAATAGTTCAATCCATAAATTAAAATTCAACCCTTATATACTTATAGAAACGATTTATCTAAAGCCATATTTATTTACATTGGGAATTAGAAATTAAATGATTTAAAAGCATATTATTTTTGTAATAATACAAGTAAAACTAATATTAAAAATAAATTAAATATTAAAATACTTAAAGTGAGAATTTAAATACCTATTTATCAGCAATTAATTTACACGACACATAAATTATTTAGGTAAAATACAGTTCAAGGGATATTTGGTACCACAGTTCGTTTAATACCTATTTTTTCCACGTGTGGCCTTAGCCGGAAAAGGCTTGCAATTGTTTGATTATAGATTTAATTAACACAAATTGCTGCCGGACACGGACATGTAGGATAATCTCTACTCCGCTGAATGCCTGAGTGTGTGCGTGTTCGCGGCAATGTTTTTTTGTGCATTAACATGAACATAGCGGAAAATTTGAGAGAAAATTATAAGCTAATTGCAAGACGAGGCAATTAAAGGGATTTTCCTGCTGCACTTTCCCACCTGCCACCTTCCGCCTGCCACGGTCGCCACTTGGCACAGTTTGTTTTAATTTCGTTAAAAATGCATAAAGCCATCAGGCAACATGTTGCCTACTTTCCAGCATGCCGGCGTGACAACTGGCCATTAGGAGAGGGATACGGCGGGGGTCCGCGTTGCAATTACAGCTTTTAGCTCGTTAAAATCGCAAATAAAGTTGTGTGTATGTGGACTGGACTAAATTTTAATACTTTCGAAATTGCTGACAAATTTGCATAGAGTCGCATATAGGGCCGGTCGACTGTCGTGCGCCTAATTGACTTTGGCAAACTGTTGGCAAACAGGCTTTTAATTCTGTTTCCCCCACCATTCCTCTTTCCCGAGATATATTTATATATATATTTGTACATGGCTATTTACGTTTTTACCCCACAGATAGCAACGAATTGCTGAAGGATAATGCCAGGAAGTTCGGTTCGGGAGGACAAACGCTGACACCCCGGCACACAATCGATGCCATTCTGGGCCTGAAAAATCGCAATGGAAATGGAACCGGAAATGGACGAGCGGAAGCGATCAGCGATGGTAAGTCGTAGCTATATCATCTAAATTTTTATTATTTTATTATTGTTGTTATTACCCCTTTCAGTCCAAAGTACTTACTAGCTCTATGATCAGACCCAAAACAACTAACATTATTTGCCCATTAGCCGGGATCATTGGGCCTTGTCATAAAAGGCAAACCGATTTCAATTACCCGCTCGCAGGCCATGGAATCAACAGACACAATCGCGAAATTGTATTAGCCTTGAACGGGGTGGTGGGTGGCGTTTGCTGCTTGGGTGGGGGGTGGAGAGTGCCTTGTGGGTGGTGGCGTCGGGAGTTGCACTTTGGCAACGCCTCGAGATGCACGACAGCTGATAAGCAATCAGTCAGCGGTAATCGGTCGTGAAGAAAACGAAACGAAGACCCCCCAAGGAAGTCATAGATGGGATTAGGGTCCTTTCATTCCATTCCATTCCTTTGGGCCAATTCAAATTAGTGGAGCGGGGATTGAGTAGTTTTGAAGGCTTTTTAACTGGATTACGGCGGGGATTTGCGGTGCCAGGTGGTGACGGCTCCTCCCCAGCCATTCTCCCGCGCTGCCAAGCTGCCGGGTGCCAAAAATAGTCTCCTGCACGTCATTTATAATTCATTTCGCTTCTGTTTTGATTGTCGGCAAGCGATTGTCGCTCTTTCGACTCCTTTTCAGTTCCTGCCCCACGACCACGCCCACACCGCTGCCAATTGTGGCAGCGAGTTGCGAAAAATAGGTGGGCATTGATATGCCAGCGATTATGGTTATAAACATAACTCTATGCAGATGGGTTCTTGGATGATCCAGGGTCAGGCCAGGTGAGAAATTGGGGAGTTTGAATTGACATTTCGCCACAGGAAATACTTGCTTTTATTTGGCATCAATTGGTTAGTACTTATTTCCTCGAAAACAGAAATCTAACAGAATAAAATTTTCAGAAAATCACTCATACGCCCTGTGGTGAAAAATAATTTGTTGAAGAGGAGTTCTCATAAAATTCCTAGATACGTATTCGGTAAATCCTTAGACCTTGCTGTAATTGAAAACTGATCATTAAGAAACCAGTACTGAACAGAAACGTACTTTTTTGCTTTCCTTAATCAATATTTATAGATATATTTATATGCTAATTTTTTGGGTACATCGAAGTTTGAAAAATACCTTAACTCAGCCAAAAATTCATTAATTTTAATTCGGAAAGCTGTTTTATGTTAGTTTTTATTAGGCTAATAAATCTGCATACTTTATTTACAATTTTAAAGAATTCAATTTTTTTGTCAATTTTTGACAATTTTAATGATGTAACCCTTTATAAAATTTTGAAATTTAAGAAAAATTAAAAAAATTTGTTTTTTGACCAGACATGACTAGATCTACTCAGCTATTAATTCTGATCAATAATATATATGATTTATAGGGTCGGAAATGACTCCTTCACTGCTTTGCAAGCTTCTGAACCAAGAAATTTTCAATTTTCACCATGTTTTAATGAGGAAATGATATCAGAAACACTTGATATATTACACGTAGGACCCTTCAACTCCCCTCGCCGTGAGCCAAATCGATTAGAGACAATTTGATGTACAATTAATTCAATTATGCGGTCTCATAAACGTTCAAAACAGACAGCAACAACCAATAACGACATTAGCAACAAATCCGCAAAACGTCACGGACAAATCAAAATGGCGCTGAGCTGCAGCAACAACAAGAGCACAGGTTAAATGGCCGCAAATTAATTAGAAGCAGGCGGCGAATTAGAGGCGATGGATAAATAGAGGGGAGGCTAAGAGGGGTTGAGGGGCACTGTGGGAGGGGGGAGGAAGGGGGAGGTGGCTGCAAGGCAGGCTCAGAGCGTTTCGCATTTAAGCCGTAATTAAACTGGCGGCCAGACACAAGCCGTCAAAAAGCATTTAAACTGACAGCTGGCGGCGGCAGCGGCGGTGGTGGTGGCGTCCCACCAGACAAATGCTGTCGGAAAGAGACGGGCAGAGTGCCCGCAAGAGAGATGGAGAGAGTGGGAGCTAAACTAAGATGGGGCGTCGAGGGGAGATTGAGATGTAAACAATCATTAAAGGAGGCGCAGGAGGCACAAGTGCATCCCGGAGAGATGGAAGATAACCGAAAGAAGACAGAGAGAGAGCGGTATATTCAGACAGAAAGAGACGGCTAAAGTGATCCCCTTCACGATCGATCCATCTACACGAGATCTGTTAAGCAGTTGACGCGGCATTAAATTGAGCATTAAGTCGCCTTAATGATTTTAATGCGTGTCTGCGGCCGTGCGTCGGCGTCGTCTTATTAGCCGCCTTTGTGGCTTCTACCACTTTTCAGAGAGCCCCCCGGTTCCCTGTTCCACTTGTGATTGACAGTTTTGTTTATGGCTTGTTTCGCTTTTTGATATGAATCCGATATCGCGTCTCATCTGGCTGTAAAGATCTTCCGGCGAACGAGAGAAGTAGGAGGGGGATTGCCCCTCTCAGAAATGTGCATTTCCTTTCGATTTGGGCCCCTTACCTGTTCCATGACTCTTGGAAACTCGCTCCAGTGCGGCTAATAACATATCAATTAGGCCGCCTAATGGCCAAGTATTTGCCCAACAATGGGAAACTGTCAAATCATCATTAGGCTTAGACGGCAGCGGCAGGGGATGTGACGAAGAAGTGACGCGATTAACGTCAATTTGTCCCTCAGAACGGCTGGATTCCATGGAAACACAAGCCAAATTAGAGCAAAATGAGTTCATCCCAGATTCTAATCATGAGTCTAGAATCTCTCAAGGAAAACTAGTCAGTAGCTGTGGCCATAACGGCTCAAACCTTTTAGCATTTCCAAATCGTGCTGGCGAGTAGCTTGTTTTTGCTTACCAATTTCCAGCTGCCAAGTTAATGGAGAGCGTACGGAAATCATTTCTTAATTGATCTGTCGATCAGTTTGTTATGGGGCTACCAACCACTGAATGAATGCTCAATCTGGACAGCAAACCTCTTCCAGACAGTGAATGGAAGTTGGCTATAAACAGGGTTCATTCACCATTAGCAGAAAGGCTAGAAACATGTTTTTTAAAACTATCTGAGAAGGAATGAATTGAATTATTTGATAATATAACTAAGAATAAAGCCTTTATATCAAAAGCCTTTAATAAAACTCCTTCAAGAAATTGCTCTATAAATAAATATTAATATATATTAAAGGTTAAGCTAAGTATGACATTCTAGAGAACTTTAAGCAGATAACTTATTATAGAAAAAGTTATTTGCAACTATCATGAAATGGTCTGCCAAAAAGTGACTTATGGTTTGTTTTTTTTTTCATATAGTGCCTAATTTATTGCCACCTTATGAAAAATTCCCTCGGATATACATATATATTCATCACATCATTCACACTCTGGCCGATTGCTCCCGAGTGAATGCCAGGCAGAAAAAACTTTTGTCTTAACCTTTTATTTTTCGCTGCTCACGCAATTAACTCACGCACTCCGTGTGGGCCCAACCGCCCAGCGGTGGCTGCCTTTTGGTTTTGGGAATGGAGGAAAGAGGGGTTCAGAGGGGTTCAGGGGAGCTCTGAGGTGGTGCCGCTACTGTCTCTCACCTCATGTGGCTCACACACATTCAAATAAAACCTTTTTTGGGCGGCTTTTGTGGTGCGATTGCTACTTGATTTGCAGAGGCTTTCAAAATGCTTTTTGTTGTTAATTTCATTAGCACCACAGTGGCTCAAAATAAGACACACGCTGGGCGTGTAAATTTCGATTGATTGGTGAAAATGCTAGCAGAGGTTAATTCGGGGCATTTACAATTTTCGTTTTGGCTGCTGTTTAAAGTTAATTAGCCAAAATGTTGACCCAATTAATCGGGCTGAGTCGAATCGGCACGATGAGGCACATAATTACATTATGGACTCCGACTCCGACTCCGACTCCGGACTTACATCAGAAAGCAATTACCCGAAAGACTATCAGATAATTACAGATATTTTATTTTCAAGTTGCAACTTCCCAGTCTGACTGCGTAATTGGTTTTGTTTCGATTCAACGATTCGGCCCGCCCCGAAAGCCAATTTAGCATAGAAATTGAATTCGGTTACACAAAATCCAGCCCAACGCCCCCTAAAAAGCTAAGGCTAAGGATATATTGGTGCTGGTGCTGGTGCGGCGACAACTAATGACTTCCTTGCATGTCACGTGATATGCACAAGCGCCAGTCGGAACGCCCATTAGGGACCAGAGCCACAAGCGCCTCATCTGGAACTCCCCGCCATTTCGACTCGTTTTCCGAGAACTTTTATTGCCGCACATTGTAAATACGAGGCGGCTAATTGAAAGCCGTTTATTAGTGGTTGGGCGGCCAACAGGTTTGACCCATTGCAGGTTCGAAGTTCGCCACCGCCAACTACCAAATTAAATAACACGTCGTTATTAGACGTCCTGGTAAGCAAGCGGCTTTATGACTTGTCTGCCCGCCTCATTGAGCATACTAATTAAAATCTAATCAGGTGGCTAAAAGCGTGGGAGTACAGCCCCACACTATGATGCATTAGCGGTTGATCATTCTCAATTAATTGGCTATTGGTTAACCATGTCCGAACTATATTTAGCATTAGTTATTTGACATAATACTGATTTGGAAAATTAATATATCCTTGTAACAGAAACCTATGGTTACCTGCTTCCACTACCACTAAGTATTTGATTTGTCACAAGGATTGATTACTTTGATTACTTATGAGGATAATTTAAAAAACCATTATTCCATTTAAACATGCAAACTTATCCCTTAACTTCTCTAAATAATTTTAATCATATCTCATTCTCATCTTTTGTAACCCTCACTTTTTCCAGGCGAAATTGATCCCTCTTTGGGAGACGAGGATGCAACGGATCTGCGCTGTGGCATGACCCTGACGCAGTTGCGCAACATGGACAGCCACATGGCCAGCATGCTGCAGCAGCATGCCAAGAACGGAGGTGGCCTGCCCTACGGCCCCCCAACTCCACCCGGCGGTCAGCAACAGCCCCAGAGTCAAACCCCGAGTGCAGCTCCCCTCCATGGGCATGGACAGCAGATCGGTGGGGGTCAGCCGGTGGGTCATCCGACGCATTCCTCCCTATCTGCTCATCCTGCACACCATGGACATGCGCCCTTTGGCTACCACAATGCCTTCGGGTTTGCCCAGGGACATGGTTACGGAGGACCCCAAGAGGAGGCAGCAGGCAATTACCTCAACTCGATGCACCAGATGGTCGAGGCCAATCAAATGCAGCCGGCTGCACCACCGCCCCCCTTGCCACCCAGCTCCTTTGGCAGTCATCAACAGCACTTGGCTGCCTTGGCTGCGCAGGCGCAGGAGCAGCAGCAGCAGCAGCAGCAACAGCAACAGCATCAGCAGAATCAACATGGCAAATACGCCAAGTCATCGCCGCCTCCTCCGCCTGGCGGTTACTTCTTGGATGGCCAGACGGCGCCGGGCGCGCAGTCGCAGATTGGCTACGACGAGCGTTCAATGTCCTCCAACAGCGACATGGAGGAGGACGACGATGATGCAGCAAAGTTGCCCCTAGACGTTACCTCGCCGCCCACTCCGGCGCCACGCGGTCCGCTGGCCGCCGTCTCCGCCGCCGGTAAGCGCAAGTCCGCCGGCGTCTTCTGTGATGATAATGAGTCCAAATTGGCCAACGGTCAGATGGGGGGTAATTACGCTATCCGAGCGCGTAGCCTGGATGAAGTGCAACATCAGCAGCATCACCAGCAACACCAGCAGCAGCAACAGTCGCAGCAACACCAGCAACAGCAGAGCTTTCAGCACGAATATCGCAACAGCAACAGTGGCAACAGCAACGGCAACGGTCACCCCAATGGCAATGGCAACGGATCCGCCGGAGATCATGTCGAGCGGCTCAATGCGGACAGCGATAGTTTGGTCAACGGGAGCTGTGCATCCAGCGAGGATCTTAACCAGACCAACAGCAGCGAGCAGGGGGAGAAGATCACCTCGGGCAGCGATGATGAGGGTGGGTTAATCCTTGCTAACTCCTTTACTTTGTTAATTAGTAACGAATTCCATTCTTACGTTTTAATATCCTTTTGCATACTTTTCTACAGGCCAGGACGATAACTGCGCGAAGAAAAAGCACCGGAGGAATCGCACCACCTTCACCACCTATCAGCTGCACGAGCTGGAACGGGCCTTTGAGAAGTCTCATTACCCCGATGTCTACTCCCGCGAGGAGCTGGCCATGAAGGTGAACCTACCCGAGGTCCGCGTCCAGGTGAGTCATCCTGCCAAGTTCTCTGAATGTATCTTTGCAAGTATCTAAAGCTGAGAGTGATTTACACCCGAACCCTGCTAATTGTGCAATCAACGTGTCTGTGAGTGGAAGGAGAAAGCGGAGTCCCTGGCAGCCAGGCTCCGGAAATTAAATAATTTCCGTTGGCGATTTATTTTAACGAAATTAAGTTGTACCTGCTGGTTATCATCCACCTGTGATCTGAGGTGCTTGTAAAGAGCTAGAGGAGCTAGATATGCATACATTTATCTTACTTGGCAGGAACTTATGGCCAGAGAGGAAGGGAAAAGCATTTCTTTGGGAGTAATTTAAGAACTTCCTCTGGTTAGAAGGATTCGTATAACTTTACCAAAGAGTTAACTTGAAAAATTCTAATAATTAACGTTTAAAAATACTAAGCTTTTAAAGGCACTTTCAGGACTGTCTGTAGCTTTTTAGCTTTAGCTTTATTACAAAATAGGTAATAATTAGGTTTCTTTATTATCCAAGAACTCGTTTAGTGCTTTATTTTCGAATATTTTCACCCTTCTGGTCTCCGTTTGCCCTCCCCTTTAGAGTCATAATATTTGTCAAACTTTGCGCATAACTTGGCTCCGAGTGCATGGAACAATTTATGTCTCAATCGCGAACTGACAACGCCGAAAGAGTTTTCAAGTTGCCTGTGGCCCATTCAATAAGTTTGCTTTTCTTCCTTGGAGAGAATTATGCATTTTATGCGACTATGCGCCTTTTATGCTCGAAGACGCCGCGGCATTGGCAATGGAGGGGCAGGCAATGTGGCAGAGGATGCCATGTCTGGCAGCCATTCGTTTCGGGTGGCAAATTGTGACGTGAACGGGCAGGGCGCCTCGTAAATTCCATTCACGGCGGTGTAGCATAAAATACGCTTAAGCAGCAGCTATATTTCGGTGGGTTGTGGGTTCTGAGGGGAGAAAAAAGGGTATCCAATAGGGTCTGATATTATTTTGGAGCTGACAACTTGAAGGTTATTTGTTAATGTCTTTTTTAAGATTTCATTTCCATGAATTTATTTTGACGAAATTTAAGATAATAGAATTTCATCTAGTAAAAAGAAAGTATTAGTATAGTATCTATAAAATAATATCTTAAGGATGATATAGCCATAATCCTTTATAAACTATGGCTTTAACCACTAACTCTTCACCTATATAAAAAAGATCCCGGCCAGGATCCGAAGCTAGAGTGGACCGCACGACTGGCATACTTTTTCCAACCGCAACCAGGAGTAGGAGAAAGGACATAGTTTTGGGGGAGTAGTAGTGTAGCAGAAGTAGGGAGCAGGAGCCCACCGGTAAATGCAAAGGACATATCAAATTTCACGATTTCGTTTCGTTTCCTCGGCCGACAAATCATTTTTATTGACTAAACATTATCGTGCCCACAGCCACAGAGGAGAGAGTTGGCGACACTGTCGTCGGCGTCTCCAACACAACACGGGGCACATAAATAAATAAACAAATACCGAAAATGCCGTATGTATTTATAGGTGTATCTATAGCCCAAGCCATATAAACGGAATACAAAGGTAATGAAGCGAAATCGCATAAAAATTTCTCCTTCTGGGCCTGGCCTGGCCCTCATGTGTCACTTTGTCAAATTGACACGAATTCAAATTATGCCAGCAGGCACCGGGGGCGAGCACTCCAACCCTTTGACTCGTTTTTTCGATTTAGTGGGGTGCACCAGGACAGCCAGGACCATTCGGCCGCACTTCCCCCGCATACCTGTATCGTCCTTCGTGTGTTTGTAATCGTATTTGCGGTTAGTTTGCATGAAGTTCTAGTTATCGTTTTTACTCCTTTCCTTTCTATTTTTTCTTTTTTTCGTTTTCTGCTCTTTGACTGGGCCTGGGAAATTGCTTGGTGTGCAACTCGTTGAAGGTGGAAATTTGTTTTGATTAAGTTTCCACACACACACACACACACACACACATTCAGTGCACACCTGGACACACATAGGCCGGCCAAAAAAGGAAATGTAACCAAAGTTGACTGAGTTGTTTCTTTGCAAAAAACCCAACCAGCCATCCACCAAATAGAATTTGTCGTTTAGATGAGTTCATTTCGGGGCTTTGCTTTTGGTCGCCCACTTTTCGTCGGTTTCTTTTTGGGTGCGCTGTCATTGCATTGTAATAGATTTGTTAAATGTTTGTTTAAAAAGTTTGATTGGATTTTGCATTTGTGTATGGCAATGGAATGAATTTCTCTGTGGCTTGTTTGATTGTTGTTTAAATGGCAATATTCGTTGACAGACAAGGGCATAAACTATCCAACTATCCGGGTCCAATTGAAATTGTGTCACTTTGTGGTTTGGCCACCCAGAAAAAAAAAAAAAACGGCCCTTGAACAAGGGTTTGAGACCGAGTCTAAGCCCAGGGATTATCGGCGATGGTAACCAAAACAAAACGCATTAAGCCGGCAAATTAAACGGCAGATTAACGCCCCAAAAAACACAGCCAGACGATCATTAACACTTGCACACGGCGGTGTATGGTTGCTTCCCTTAAAAGCCACCGGAACCATCGGAGTCCTGAGAGCCGGAACATATGTCCGGGAAGAGATGACAATTACTTTTGTTTGGATTACTCGCTGACAGGAGAGCGGAGTGCGAGGCGTTATCCTGCTCCCTTATCCTGGAGGAGGGCTGTCTGGCGCTCAGTCAAGGGTTAAAGCCGCCGCCAGTCGACTCAATCATACGCCGCATTAGGCCGAGGGCCAAAAGAGTTTAATTAAAACTTAATTTGCCATGGAGCAAAGCAAATCGAGTGGGGATGGATGGACTGATGATTAAGATATATACTCAACTCAGTGGCTGGAGGAGACTTGCTGCATGTCTTGCTTTAGTTAGGCAAATAAACATGACTATTTCCATGTGCAACGACCATTTTTATTGGGTTTATTAGCAGCAAAAATAAACAAAGATAAAAGACAGCAAAGAAGAGGCAAAAGTTTGTGTCAATTATTTTGCATAGTCAAATGATTAAATATCGTAAACCTGTCAAAATATCCTCTGCCAAAGGCAAATAATAATCCCGTGTAATAGTTTATTTATCTGCATATATTGCTCATACGACATGTGTGACGTGACACAGACAGCCCCGGGGCGTTGCTTACTTACATGGCTGTGTGAGTAAGCCTGAGCCAGAAACAGAGCCAGAGCTTGTGAGGGGATGTGCATAAACAGCAAACAAATAAAAATGTCATTTCACTAACAAATAAAATAGATTTTTATTGCATTCCACTTGGGCTGCGTCTTTGCCTTCGCCTCCGGTATCGCCTTCGCCTTCGCCTTCGCCTTCGCCTTTGGATTTGTGCAGGAGTTTACATTTGGATTTCCCTCCTCGACATTTCCACATTTTTATGCTCATTTCGTTGTGTGCTCCGTTCTGGTTTCTGCTTCGATTATTTTTTATTGAATATTTACTTCAACTTTGGCATTCGTTTTGCTCGCATGACCGTTTTATCGACGTAGTTTTGATGCCTCTGCTGCTCCCCTACCCGCAACGCTTTCGTTTTCACATGCCATAATAATAATGCATATTAGGTTCATTTGTTTAGACCCACTCCGGGCCCCCGTCCCCATGAAATCCTATACAAATCTAATAATGAAAACGATCACTGGTCCGACTGCCAAACAAGCTCGTTCATTCATCGCTGTCATCGGGAGCCCGAATGTCCTGTGCGGGTCATCAAATCGCATGAATAAAGTCATTGAATGCCTAAGTAGCCCGGTCCCACTGGGCCATGGAAATCGAAATTGTGGAAAAAAAGCTTTTCAACTTGTTTAACTTATTGTCGTGGTGGAGTGGGTGCCTCCTCCAGGACCTCAGTCTCATCGGGGCGCTTGGGGAGTGACTGGATAAGGCCGCTTAAGGATATTTATTGGGCACTTGTCCTGATTTGCCTGCGCTCAATGCCCCGAGCAGTTAATGAACATTTGCATTTCTTTTCGAGGCATTCTTGTTGATGTAATTAAATGGCAAATGAAATATGCATCGGACTCGAGCGACAGCTGCCCTCAAGTGCCGCATGGCGTGGGCGAAGGTGGGTGTGGGTGTGAGTGTGGGTGTGGGCTAAGCAATTAACACATTATGCCACCTTGGCATAACAACAATAATAAGGACCAGGAGCAGGAGCAGGAGCAGGAGCCGAGAATGAAACCAAGGGGAAAACAAAGCCACCGCAAGGGTAAATAAATGTCAGGTCACAAAAGGTAAACCGGGTTAGGGGTTGCCTTATTTTATACTAAACGGGGATAAAATATATTTATTTGTGAGTTACACATCTGCCGTTTATTAAAATGTATTTTGATCAACTGTCAACTTAAACAAAGAGAACCGAAAAACACTTCCAGGCACTTGATATGATTCGGCTAATTTGGCTGACAAGTCTTCAAGGGAGGGAGTACTCGTGTAGTGTAAGAAAATATATTACAAAACAATATAGATTATTCAACTAAGCAATTCAAGAGTTTTATTAATTATTTATTATTATTTAGAGAGTAGAACTGAATTTATTTAAAACTACAAGTAATACAAAACTTATTAAATGGTTTAGGAATTTACAAATCCTTTGACAGCAAGCTCAGCATTTTTTCTAATTGAAGACATTTGACTGGATATACATTTGGGAAAATGTTAGCTTCGCGGAAGGGGAAGGCAAAATCACGCTCCCCACAGAAGTTTGCCGCTTTCAATTAACCCTCATTAGAAGCTCGACTCACAAAAGGCTTTCTTCTCCCGATCGGGACACGCCCACGCCGAATCCGTGTCGCAATTAATTAAACTTGAAAGCCACAGAGAGAAGAAGAGCACAGATACCGGGAGCCAAGGACCCGGGAACTGGTGATTCGAAGGATGACGACGCAGTTGCCGCATGGCTCAAAGAAATTCCAACAGTTGGCAGCTGGAGGGAGACTGGGGCCGGAGATGCCGAAGGATCTTTGGCAAAAGACCACATTGT